GTAACTTTAAAAATATAAGTTTTAGTTTTAATAAACAATTTATTATTAATTAATAAATTTATTAAAAAAGATAAAAAAAATCATACAACGATGAAAATTCAATAAAATCTTTTTTTTTTAAAAAAAGCACACACTGAGAAAAAAAAGTATGGCCAAAACAATAATTTATTTTGTTAATTTAATTTATTAATTTCATCATATTCTTATGAATATAATAAAATTTGCCGCGTTTCTAGGTCTATGGTAGCTTCTAAAAGTTCGGTAATTTTTACCGAAGAACTTTCGTAATAATTTCGGTATAGCTAACATTAAAATATGGTTTTACAATATGGGAAAAATTTTGACAAATGTGGTGAAACTTAGTAATTTTATCATGATACCTTAAAGCAGTGGTCGGCAAAGTGCGGCTCCAGAGCCGCATGTGGCTCTTTGTCTCCTTAAGTGCGGCTCTGGCACAAATATCCACGGAAGGTGCCATAATATCTTCATTTAAAAAAAACTTGGTAAGAAAAAGATTGCATCTTATTTTGATAAAATAAAATTCTTCTATAAATCGAGAACATGTATAATTTTTTGTTTAAGTTAAAAGATAGATAGGTAATTAAAATTTTATATTGTTGTAAAAATACGTAACGAACATCGAGTTTAATTTTATTAGTTTTCGTAAACGTAAACACAAACAATGCACAAGTTACCGGCTGAAACTGTTCGTATGTTTTCGGCGTACTCCGGTGTGATACAAAAATACCACAAGCATATGCACGTACACTTTTTCTAAAGTAGTGGGGGTACAAATTGGCATCACAGACCAGCACTCGCGTTTGCTCTTCTTGCCCTTTTCGGTTCTACATATATATGCGAACAATCTTTTTCAACAAGAACATTGTCAAGAGTAAACTGAGAAGTCGTCTTATTGATGAGAACTTGGAATCATGCCTAAAATTAAAAACAACAATATACAAACCTGACTTACTCAAACTTTCCAAGGAGATGCAAGCACATTGTTCGCATTAATACATATTTATTAAGTATGAAATAGTTTTATTTAGTGTATTACTTATTTAGTGTAACAAAAGTTTACTAAACAAGCAGATTTGGCTCCTAAATTTTTTTAAAATTGTTGTAATGTTCATATTTGGCTCTTTGGCCAATAAGTTTGCCGACCACTGCCTTAAAACATGACATGAAAACCATTTATTCGGTTAAATTCGCGTTTCAGTTTGGTATTTTTTTACTAATTGTGTGGTAATGAGAACAATACGGTACTACGGTTTACGACTTTACGGTAAGTCGTTGCCATATGAAATGAAAAAATTCCAAATGAATGGTCTAAATACCGTATATTTTGGTTTTATTGACCAAAATAATACATATATTAACAGAAATGAGAATTATTACAATACAGTACGGTAATTTTACCAGGATATTTGTTTCCGTGCAACAATGATAAAAAAAGACATTATAAAAACTAATAAAATGCGAAGAAGGAAAAAAATACAATAACTCTGATTTTAACTGGTTGCGAATTCTTTGCAATATTTCATTAGTCGAAAAATAATTTAAAAAAGAATACCAAAGTAGTAGATCAGAAAATATTTCTTTGCTTTATTTTGATTTCAAACTTTGCAAATGACAAATCACTGAAATCTTCTTTTATGCATCTTTTTCCAACAAAAAACTTCAAAGTCATAATATTGTAACATTTCATAAGTAAACAGTATAGAATGCTCTGCTATTTCCTGAATTGTGGGTTTACAATTTTGATACAATTTATAAGTAGTTGATAACAGTCATAGTACTGAGACCCAACTATAAAGTTTAGCTTAGGATTTAATAACTGAGAGAAAAGAAAACGTCATAAGACGGAACCTATTCATTAACAGGAAATAAAACGTGATAAATGACGGAATTAAATCATCGATAGAAAAGAAAACATTTAACGTCTGTCTATCAATGATTTAATGATATCATTGATAGGAAATAAAACGTATAGCACGCCAAAATCTAATCATTGTCAGAAAATAATATGTTATCTGTATGACGGATCCGAATCATTGCCCTTACCAAAAAAAAAAAAAATAANAAAAAAAAAAAAATAAATAAATAAAAAAATAAATAAAAAATAAATAAATAAAAAATAATAAATAAAAAAAGAGGAAAAAAAAACAACTAATTTTTAAGGATTCAGCAGTCTTTGAGCTGTATTTCGTTATTTTTGACAATCATTTTGCCACGAAATCGTGTGATTTTTTATGAAGTTTGAATTCTCAAATATTTGATAATTTGATTTTCTAAAACATGGGTAATCTCAGTGATTTCTAGATCTTCACCAGTATTTTTAATATATCTGAATTTGAAACCATTTGATTTATATGACGGGATGGTATAAAAGTTAGTGCGCTCGCATTTTAAGCAGGTATTCTAGATTCGAATCTTATTGCTGACTCAGTACTCAGTCACTGATACGCCTATTACTTTCTGTTGTATTTTTAAATCAATCATGTCAATACATGTAGTACTTTTGACGAAATTCATATCTTTAAACCAATGAAGAATGAAATTTGTACGACTTATTCTTCGATCGGAAACGATAGAATTTTAAGGAATCCTCAAAATTTGTCGATAGCTTTAAAGAAAATGAAATGAGATAGAGGACTTTTGAATCCAATTTTTGTCACAAATTCATAAGGAGTGTTAAGAGCAGTATGTAAGAAATAGGATGCATCGAGGCGTTTGTAAGCGAGGCGTAAGTAAGAAAACATTACAGAAGACATCTAAATCATATATTAATTGTTTATAAAGGATATCCCAAATTAAATTTCTAGACATGGAAAATATTTCGTTCTTTAAAGGAGAAAAAAGACCGAACTTTTCCATTCCTTTTTAGCTCAAGAGACCTAAAAATGCATAAAAACAGGAAAAAAAAAAGGAATCGGTTTTCGAGTTGGTCGCTATGACGATGAAGCTAAAATACGGGAAATTTTCAATCGTGAAAGAAAAAGATGCGGGGGGGGGATAAAAATGGTGACTTTTACCGTCGCAGAAAGGGGGGATGGAGTTTTACGTGACTTCAAATATATCTGGCTGTTCGTCACGTTCGAACAGTTGACTTGAAATGAAGGGGTGGTGGGCAAGGTATAAAAATCGAGGTGTTTTTGGATCGAGAGAACTTTCTTCTAAAGACGTTCGATTTGGAAAGAGAGGTTTCTTTTTGCATATGTAAGTGACAATTCAGGATGGAGGGAAAATGTCGACGACTATTTTGACGGCGGGAGTTACTAGAAAAGCCTGGATTTTGTCAGAGATTTTAAGAAGTAGCGCAATGGGGGTTCAAAGCGCTAACTTAAAGTACCTCAAAACGTTCGACCTCAAAAGAAAACAGTGTTTCGGTTAAGTATGGCACCGATTTATTGAGGCATTTTTCAAAATTAAACGAGTCATCTTATTTGTAATATAAATGCTGAACGGGAAACCTACAGATAATGGGAGACAATTACAATAAAAACAAAAAACCGTCAAATTGCAATAGTTCTTTTATTCATAAGCTGGATTTTTTTCAAATAAAAAAACAGGTAAATCAGGCAGGGTGAAATATTTGGCAATTTTGATCTTGTTGAAATTTTCATGATAATAAAAATTAAATAACACTAGAATAAATTTTTCTACATTGTAAATGATTCAGTAAATGTTAATTGTAAATGTAATTTGCTACTTTGATAATTTTTTAAAGTAAAGGCAAATTTTCTTAACAAAACTGTTTTTTAACAGTTGTTGTAATAAAATTTCGCTTTAATGATCAATTTGTTTGGAACAAGTGTAATAGTTTTTAGTAAGCAAAAATGTAGAAAAATAGAAATAAAAATTTCATTTTGAAGACATGAAAAAAATCCTACGATGCTAATACATGTGATTGTTTTATTATTTTGGATAATTAAAAAATAGTATAATGATGGCATTGGCGCCATTGTTACACTAGGTCTATAAAAAAACATAATTTCTATAAGCCAAGGGCAATTTTTTGAAACCAGCATGTTATCTAACGGAACATAAGCCCCATATCATAATAATTTTTGATTTTATGACAGCTAGTTTTTGATAACAAAATATTTAGAAATAACGCCTAACGTATACGAACTCTAATATCTAAAACCCTGGCATTTGTACAACTTTCAAGTGTTATAACCCCAAAATATTGATTAAATATTAAAGAAGTATTTCTCCAATTTGTTTAGAATTTTTGAAATTGAGTTATATGCAATATGTTCCTATTTTTCATTTAATAAGTGTTAAAAAAAATTACATACTAGGAAATAAAATTAAAATAATCCTTATTTTTTTGTTGTTTTCTTCAGAGAGTAAATCAATAATCTTTATACCTACTCTCTTTCCTATCAAAACAATGAAAAAATATAGATACATTAAATTTGATAGAGGTTAAATAGATAATAAAAATGGTTATGTACAATATAAAACGCTTTTATATTAAAAAATAAACAGTTTTAATTGAAGCATATTCAAATCAAATCATGTCAAATTCAAAAAATTGCACAAAAATTTAAACAAATATTTTAAATTAAAATTAATAATACTGCAAAAAAGGCAAGTTTGTCACAAAGTAAACCTATGTACACCGACGAAATGTTTGTCACAAAGTGTGCCTATGTATTATTATTTAATGGAATAAAATATTTCAAGTAAAATTTAATTTTTAGTATCTATATCAAAGTTTTAATTCCAAAACATAATTTTTTATTTGTTCTAAATTCTTTAGCATAATTATACCACAAATAATTGTTAAGACTTAAAGTTAAATTGTTAAGATTTTTAGAGCATTTGAGTTTAAATAAGTTTTTTTTTTAGATTTTTATAATTCTTATGCACATTCTAGCATTCCAAAAAGAACAGAAAATTATTCCTTAAATTTACAACTTCACCGTGCTTCTTTTCCATAAGAAAAAAAAACATTTCAACCACTAATTTCTTCCTTTTTGAAATTCAAGTCGAAATCAAAAACACATTTCACGATAAAATAATTTGATTTTTTTGCTTACCTGTTGGTTTGTTTCGAATGAATTTGAAGTCGTAATCCAAAAACGGAGGAAAGTAATTTGTATTTAATTATTCTATTTTGGAGCTGTAAAGAAAAAGAAAAATGCGTTACATAAAAGCTTTTGACATTATATTCCAATTATGTATGTATTTTATAAATTCTTAGCATGTAAAATAAAAATTGAGACTTACAATAGAATAGAAATAAATGAAATTACAGTTTGTTAGGTGATAGGATAGCCTTGACATTAATAAATGCATTACGCGTTCAAGGATGAAATTTAAGAGAAATATTAAAATCATGAACAGACAAAAATAGACACTGACAAAAAGTATGTTAAATTAGTTTATCCTGTTACAAAATTTTTTTTAATATATATTATGAATAATATCAAAAAGAAAATGTTTATCTATTGAAATAAACAAAACAGTAAAATTAAAAATCATTAACTTGGTCCAATTTATTAAATTTTTTTTTAGAAACAATTTTGTTTTCACGCAATTATATTTGGCAGAGCAATTAGCATGCACTAACAAATGCACTAATATGATATAATTACTTGCAAGTTATGACAAAAACTTCTTTCCCACTTTAAAATACGTTTTTTTTTTCATTTTAATTTTTTAAATTTTGCGATCTATTTTTATTTTCGTTTTGAAATATAAAGTAGCCAAAAAATGATATGAGCTGGATTTTTTGTCCCTTTTACATGTTTTTTTTTTTACACAAACAGAACTATTTTAACACATTAACGACCAGTCACGAGACGATTATTTATAGTTATTTCCCCACTGTACACTAAGAAAAAGGTATGGTTAAAATTACCAGAATATGACACATTTACCATGTTTCTGGATCTACGGGAACACCAAAAAGCTCGGTAATCTTCACCGAAACGTTTTGGTAACATTAACAATAGAATATGGTTTTATAATATGCGATAAAATTTGGTAAATCTGGTAAAATTTTGTAGTTTTATCATGACACCTTACAGCATAGCATTAAAAAAACCACCTATTCGGTTACATTTACATTTTAGTTTTATCGATTTTACTAAATATGCAGTAATTATTTTTTTACCAGAAATATCATTACCATATAGTAACGGTAATATAACCAGAATTTTTTCTCTGTATAAATGATTGAATGAAGCGGAGGCTCAATGCTGAGGCTTAGCACTTCCTGCGTTAATACATGACTGGCTACCGAGGCATTACTCTACACCTCCACGTTGGCGTGTGATTGGCAGTTTAGCGATTACGCCACATCACACCTTGGCGACAAAAGTAAGCAAGTAATCGGCAGAAAAAGAGTTAATATACTTTTCTCGATGCTCGTATACACGTTGTAATGTATGTAATAATTCTATGTTATGCTCTATGTATGCATTGGCACCTCAAAATATAGATTCACAAATGTGTGAATACAATTCAAATGTGTGATAGCACTCAGTACAATGACAATACTTCTATGAGTTATCTTTAGAACAAAACCTCGTATTTTCGTTCTGTTGGGACATAGTTCCGGCAAATTAGTTTTATTTGTCGAGAATACCCAAAAGACAAAATGGAATAAATTCTACGATAGAAAAGGAACAGGATGGTTAAAAAAAATATCGTCTGCGGAAGAAGGTACATTAACAACGCATATATGCGCCTTAAATTGACTTAAAGGTCGTGGCAGCATCTTCAATAATTGGATAAGAATTTCAGTTAATTAAATCTAAAAGGTTTCGAAACTATCGGAATGCTGTGAACGCTAGTCGATAAGAAGGGAGGCAAAGTGAAAGGTTCTGGATAATGTTTTGAGGGACGGAAGGCTCTTTAAGTTGCCTTTTATTTGAAATTCTTAAAGAATGTGGGACATGGGAAGGTGAAGTCGCCCTGATTGTGCTTTGTTGCTTTTAATTGAATCACAGTGTGGTAAAAGCAAATGAAAAAGAAGCGCTCAGAGTTGATCGAAATGTATCAGATTGGAAAGGCGACAAAAAACGTGTCATTTTATTCAGGCTAAAATACAGACACTGTTAACAGGTTTTTTAGGCAGTGACAAATTTTACTGGTCTAAACAGTTATTGAATTGATTATACTTGCTGGCTGGTATAAGAGCTTGACTACGTACAACATAGAAAGGACAAATATTATACTGCAGCAAGTCCAACATACTGATTAGAAAATGTTTCAGCCATTGATAGTTTTGTTCTTAACGTATTAGAGCATTGGAGTCAAACATTATTTAATTGTAATGACACCATTTTGCTTCCAAGCATAACGAATGTAAAATCAAAGTAAGAATCGCTAGTAAAATTAAGAAAACAAAATGAAAAGCGTTCATTCACTTATATTTATATTTTATTTGTCATATTTTTTATTCTAACTACACTTTATAAAAGGAAACAATACAAGTGAGATAATAAAAAAAACGTTACAATTTGACAAATCAAAAAATCAAAAATTGCTCTAATAGAAAAAAATTGGCAGGCTTCAAAATAAGAGAAGAAAAAAAGAAATAGATAAATTTTGTTGGTTTATTCTAGAAAAACAACAACATATTGGGAATACATATTGCCAATTCACATTCTTTATCTTCATCATCACAACACTCAGTAAAAGAATTATACCACAACTTTCTTTTGATGATCGGCAAGCAGTGCACGTAATTAAAAAATACGCAAAACGGGAAATGCACAATAAATAATCAAATGTAGGCAATATTCTTTTCAACAATTTTTTTTCCATCTATGTAATAAGAATAATTAGGGATTTTTTTTGGCCTTGGTTTTAACATAGGTTATAATATTTTTGGCCTTTACTAAAACGGAAATCGATATTTTTCTTCGAATTTTTTAAAATTTTGTTTTCAATGTTAAACATATTGTATTGTTATATGCTAAACAATTGTATTGTCCCCAGAAACCCATTCAATTTGTTTACAAAAATAAAAACGATTGTATGGACATGGCATAGAAATTCTATCAATTTTAATACCTCACCCAAACTCTATCAATTTTGTTCATATTATGTTACTTATAATTACTTTATCTAATAATTTACTTTACTTTCGTTATTTTACTTTTTTCCATTTTGTTACATTTCACAATATTTATGTACATTCCTCTAAATTCTAAAAATAAAATTCCAATAAACTAATAATTCCAAAAAAATAAAATTCCAATTACGGTATTCTACTTTACAAAGTATACTAACTCTTTTTCACGTTCAAAAGTATTATATTAACTATTTTTAAATTTTATTAGCTGTGTTTTTACTAGCAAAACGAATAATATCAATACTTTTTTTAAAATTATACTCATTTTGTTCTTTTCATCAAACACATACTGTATCGATACCACACCCAAATTTTAAAACTTTTGATTTCATTGCTAATATCTATAATTTAATTCCTAAAAATCAAAGAATTTTTTTTCCAAAATTAAACTATGCATTTATGACCTTATATATATTATAAGTAGATGTACTTATGCATTGTAAGTACAGCCATCACTCATGTCCAAAAGTTAATTTACAAATACATTGCAGAATTAAGAAACAGTGAACCAAATCACCTGAAATTTTATTTGAAAATACTTCAGTGTATTACAAGAACAAAAATGGAATGATGGCAAGATCATAAAATAATGGGTATCAGAGCAAGGAGATGAAGATGATGATGCAGAATTGTATTTTTAAAGGTTTTAAAGAGGGGTCTAAGCCCTATCAGCTTCGGGAAGTTTCTGGAAGGAAGGAAGGAAGGAATGCAGCCAGCTGCAATATCTCTGCCAGGAACAAGCTGGCCATTCATTCCATTCGATGAATATCTTCGGCTTCAAGACCAGCTTTGTCGGAGAAAAACAGGGATCCGTTACCATGCCTTCAACATTATGAAAGAGAACTACTCTGCTTCAGGTGTTACGTTATCTTGGGCCATCACATTTTAAGCGAGTAATTGAGGTATAGAGCTCAGATTTTTCGAACCTTTTGCAAGAATCTCTGTCGGTTCCCAAAACAACACTGAGCTGGACTGGTTAAAGAATATCTTAAAGCCAGAGGTGCAAAATGGAACGATCAGTCAGATCATTGATCTAGAATCGCATAAGCATATTTGGAATATTCTTGGCAAAAAATTGGTAATTCACCAAACATCTCCAAAAAACTCTCCTGGGGCAAGAATTGCCTTAATGTAGGAATGGCGTTTAGAGTCTCCAAAACATTTGCTAACATCATATATAATAAGAGAGTTCATTGTGAGATTTGCATTACAGTTCTAAAAGGGGGGAATTACCAATATTAAATCTTCTTACATTTCACTACATTTTTTGATTATCTTGTTGAAATACTCATTAATTCATGATCTTGCGTTCGTGCTATTACTTTTTTTAATCCTCGTCTTTGCCCTATTTTGATGTATTTTCATACAAAATTACACTTGAATAGGTTTATTTATTTATTTTGTGAATTCTCTGCAAATATGTGTTAGTTTTTAAAGTTTGAGACATGAGTATGCATCGGAAGATTTTTTGTATTTTTTCTTATATATTAATCTGATTTAAAACTAATGATATTTCTATTTTTCTTCAATACTTTTTGATCATCTAGGCGGTGGCAATAAAATAATTCTCAAGCTTATAAATTTGAACCATAACGTAGTTTAAAAGTGAAACTATTGTTTTTTTGTACAACTGGGGGGAAGATACAAACGCTTATTTTAAAATTGCATCTTATACCTATAAATTTGGATCACATTTTAGTTTTAAAGTGATATTCAAGGTACATTCCTTAGGAGAAAAAACCGCGTTGCATCTACAATAAAATCTGCGCTTCCATACAAAACTCATTAAGAGTAAGACGCATCGCCCCATAATGCCTCAATGGAAATACCTAAGCAAAATGCGTATGGGGGTTCTATGGATATCCATGAAGATGTTTTGCTATTAATAAGGGCCTCAGATAGGCATGAAATCGTTTTCTCGCTCGCTAACCCCTAACACCCTCCCATGGATGCAGGGCATTGTCGTATGGGGCGATGATTTAAGGCCATGTAGCATAAATCACCTCATCTCTGCATAGGAAGGGATGGTAGGGGGT